TCAGTATTAAGCAAATGCTTGATATTTTGCTGATAAATGATTAAAGTAAAGGAAAGTAACTTGAACATAAAAGCTAATAACTGTGTCATGTTTGAGTGGCATCAATCAATCAATCCTACATTAAGCGTGATATAACGTTTACTGTAGTTATACAAAGCAATTGTAAGATTAAGTTCTGGTAACAATTAAAATTACAGGTATATGAGCTTTTTTCTGGAGAGTACTCCGAATGCTGTTATTCCAAAAGCAGTACGCTTAATAATTAGCTCTTATTAACCGAGCAGGAGGTCTCTACGGGAGAACCTCGACCGAGGTCAAGATTCTCCCATGCAGACCGACTAAGCTCGGTTAATGTTTATTACATGGCAAGCAAGAGAAATTTAATTCGTTTATTGTAACTGGTTTGTACTAACCGACATTTTTGCTTGCGAACGGCGATGAGCTGAACTTAATTCTGCCGAAGTCTGCTCGTCCTCTTTACTTTTCTTTTCTTTTCTTATCACACTTTTTGGCATTGCCATAAATAAATATTTTKAGAAGAAAATAGTCAACTTTCTTACATTAAAGTTTGCAACTTTTTCACCGCAAAACATTACCGGTCTAGATTCCGGTCTAGATGTGAAAATCTCAACAGCTTTCAATATCGATTTCAGCCAATCAAATTCTTGAATTCGATAGTTCCCAGTCTTTGTGAGACACAGCCATATAATAATAACTACTTATTAACCAAGAGTGAGGTCTTTACGGGAAAATCTCAAACCTTGACCTTGCCGCATTGACCGAGCGATAGCGGGGTCAATACGGCAAGGTCTCGGTTTGAGATTTTTCCGTAAAGACCGAACGATCAACGCTAACAAATTGTTTATTATATGGCCTTTTACTTTGTTTTTGCAGGCCCGTAATCGAACCGTGGGTATGCCTTAGAATTTTCCAGTCATAGCGCGCGTTCTATCCGCTACAAACACTAGCCATTCAAGGTTACTCCAAACTTTTGCGGGGCTGCTTTTGCCAAATTTTCTTTTTTCAACGAAATTAAAGTTCATTATTTAAGGTAATATCTTCAAAAAAAATCAAAATAAAATATTACAACGCGCGCGAGCTATTGGGAAAAAGAGGTTTTTTTAATTAAAAAAAAAGTTAATGAGCTGTTGGAGGTGTCACAATCTCCAAAAGGCATGGTCTCCTCAGCGACCTTTTCGCGGCAAACGGCTTCATCCGGAGATCCTTTATCAAATAATTTCAATTTCAGATTACATGTCTGTCAAGAGTGCCTACTTGTAATCACGCTTCGGTAATTGCTCCTCAGTTTCTTTTGGTTTTGTTGCACATCGCTTTCCTTCTGTTTTGCCTATTATTGTTGATCACACGTAAAACGTGTGAGCCTAAAAGCGGCGAAGCCGCGAGGAACCTCAGTTGTGTCTCTTCCAGG